TCTCTTGGGTAAATACTCAGGAGTGGGACTATATTTCTTTCTTTAAAATACCTCCATTAATTATCAAATTTAATGAGCTTGTATCTATACATATAAAGTAATGGGGAAGGACTGATATAATTATCTATGAAACTGAAACCAAAGAAAATGCTTGGCTTAAATTATCTTGGTATTTCAAGTTAACGTGCTATTTTGTATTATTGGGATATAAAAAATTTTCTATTTCACTTAAGTGAGAACCTTGTGGATCAGATAGTACACTGGGAAATATGATAAAAAGGAAATTTTTGAAATACCAATTCAGGATTCTTTCAAATAGGTTATCTCTAAAGATGTGTGGGTAAGGATAAATCAAATATCAGCCAATCTGAAAAGGCTACATATCATATGATTACAATTATATTACATTCTGGAAAAAGCAAAACTATTAAGATAGTAAAAGATCAGAGGTTGCCAGGGGTGCGGGGCGGTCAGGATTTTTTTTTCTGGAATGTAATATAATTGTAATCATACGGTATGCTGCCTTTTCAGATTGGCTTTTTTCACTTAGTAATATGCATTTAAGGTTTTTCTTTGTCTTTTCATGGTTTGATAACTCATTTCTTTTTAGTGTTGAATAATATTCCATTGTCTGGATGTACCACAGTTTTTTTATCCGTTTACCTACTGAAGGACATCTTGGTTGTTTCAAAGTTTTGGCAGTTCCAAATAAAGCTGCTATACACATCCTTGTGCAGGTTTGTGTGTGGACTTAAGTTTTCAGCTCCTTCGGGTAAATACCAAGGAGCACAATTGCTGGATCGTACGGTAAGAGTAAGTTTAGTTTTGTAAGAAACCACCAAACTGTCTTCTAAAGTGGCTGCATCATCTTGCATTCCCACCAGCAATGAAGGAGAGTTTCTGTGGGTTCCACATGCTTACCAGCATTTGGTGTTGTCAGTGTTCCAGATTTTGGCCACTCTAATAGGTGTATAGTGGTATCTCATTGTTGTTTTAATGTGCATTTCCCTGATGACATATGATGTGAAGCATCTTTTCATATGCTTAACTGCCATTTGTATATCATCTTTGGTGTGGTATCTGTTCAGGTCTTTGGTTCATTTTTTAATTGGGTGTTTGTTTTCTTATTGTTGAGTTTCAAGAATTCTTTATTTTGGATAACAGTCCTTTATCAGATGTCTCATCTGCAAATATTTTCTCCCTTAAATTGCTTTTTAAGTCTTAAAGGGTAAGTATCCCTATCAAGGAAGAGGTATCCAGGGCCAGCCTGTGGCCGAGCCGTTAAGTTCTCACACTCCCCTTTGGCAGCACAGGGTTCTGTCAGACATGGCACTGCTCATCAGGCCATGCTGAGGCAACAGCCCACATAGCAGAACCAGAGGCACGCACTCACAACTATAATATACAACTATATACCAGGGGGCTTTGGGGAGAAAAAAGAAAAAAAAAAAGAAGAAGATTGGCAACAGATGTTAGCTCAGGTGCCAATCTTTAAAAAAAAGAAAAGAAAAGAAAAGGAAGAGGTACTCAGAAGAATGGTGGTAGTGTTACACTGTAGGTGAACTGTATATGTACATATAGACTTCAAGGCATATTTGGCTTGATCTTAGTGATCTGTATCCCTCTCTCCCTCTCTCTGGATGACTCTTCCAGTAATAACAGCCTCTCAAAGTGTCTGGGAGGATACTGGCCTGAGATTTTGTTGCTTAAGTGAAGACAAGTTGCTTGGACTATATACCTCTAGCTCAGAGCTCAGCTTTCAGTTCCAGACATGTGTATCCATCTCCAGCTGGATGTCCCTGAGCCATGGACATGGGGTCATCTTTGATTTTTCCTCCTGCAGCTTCTATATCTAAGGAATCACTATGTTCCATCAATTTTGCTTCCAAACTATCTCTTGCATATGACTTACACTTTCTATTTCCTTTGTCATTGCCTTAGTCCATGCTTTGTAACCCAGGGCCATCCAATAGAAATATACTGTGAGCCATATATGTAATTTCAAATTTTCTAGTAGCCACATTAAAAAGGGTGAAGAAATAGGTGAAATGAATTTTAATAATGTTTGTTTTAGCAATATATCCAAAATATTATCAATATGTAATCAATATATGATTTCAACATGTAATCAATATATGATTATTAACAAGATTCCTTTTTTTTTTGCATGTGTTTCAAATCCATTAAACTTGCAGCACATCTCAATTAAGATTAGCCATATTTCCAGTACAAAGTAGTCACTGTATTAAGGAGTGCAGTTCGAACCGATCTTGCTCTTGGCATTTCTCCTTTTCATTCTTTCACATGGTTGTCTTTATAACATAGTCATATCACTTCCCTCCTTAATACCCTCTGATGGTGAGTCTGCAATTGCACATAGAAAAAAGTCCAATTTCCTTAGTGTTCATTGTAAGCTTCTCAGGAGCCTGGTATATAAGGCCCTACCTCTTGTATGAGTTTGAGCCCACCTTTTTCCCACTTCCTGGTTTCCCAAACAGATAATAATAATATACATGTAATGAGTATTTCTTATATTTAGGTGCTGTGCTCGATGCTCTCTTTTAATCTTCATTGCAAACCCATGAGGAGAGTACCACTATTATCCCAATTTACAGTTTTAAAAAGGAGGCTGGCAAGGTGAGGTCACTAGCCTAAAGACTCAAAAACTAGCACAAAGGGAATGAGCCCCAGGCAGTTTGCCTCCAGAGCCTGGGAATGCTTCCCCAGTGGTTAGCCCTGCTTCTTCAGATCTATGCTGTTGATCTTGCTGTTATCTCTGCCTGTAATGCCCTTCTCTTCCTCCTCCCCAGTTATACCACTATCAGTCATGACTCAGTTTAAATCTACTGTATGTCTCTGTAGCTTTGTCAAACACCTGCATAGATGTCCTTTTCCCACAGCTGGCAGCCCCCATTCCCTTCCATCCCTAGTGAAAGTCATTCTATTCTCCTTCATCGAGTTCCCACGACTGTATTAGAGCTATACACATTGCATTGCTGGCATTTGTTTATATATCAGTGTCTTCCATTCTGAATTCCATGAGATCAGGGACCAAGTCTGTTTTTTCTTTCTTTCTTTTTTTTAAAGAAATTTATCTGTAGGCCTAGCCTACAGAAATAAAGAGCAACAATCTTTTCAATCATTTTCCTTTTGTCTTTCCCCTATTGAGGCTGCCCTGGTGCTCTTATAAACACCATTCCAAGGATTTTAGTTTTCCTTATAAAGTCAGATGATTGGGAGCATTTAAATTTCAACTATGACCAAGAAGAGGCAATGAAGAGATACATAATTGTTAAAGGATCCTTTGCAAAAGGTTAAGGATGGTTCCAGGCTTTTCAAAATGACAAAGAAGCTGCTATTTGTCTTTACAAAATATGCCCTGGCTCATAGAGAACTGTTGAGAGAAGATTATTCGCTTCTCAGGATGAAGATCTTGCCAAGAGTTTGTATTCAAGTCCCTACTAGTATTACCTACTGTTCCAGAAACCTGGGAAGTGTCCTGAATTTGGGATACAGCTAAATGTCATCAATTTTAGGTGCTACCAGTTCATTGTAAGTGATGAATTTAGGTTCACATTCACCTTTGTTCAGCAAATGGTTCCCAGTGCTACATTTTGGATGAATATTTAAAATACTTAAGAGAACAATTTGCCTTTCAGCATCTTGGAACATTTTATAGCCATCTCCATTTGCATGAAACCAATTTTAACACATTATCTTCTTTACTCACTACAACTATCACCTCAGGATGAACCCTAGCTGAGCCTGAATTAAGTGGGCAATTGAGAGCAATAAATTCTATAATTCAGATCTTTACAACATTATTTTTCTAGCAGTTGGGATAAAGTGAGGAGTGGAAAAAGTGCCTGGCAACACGGAAGTCACTCAAAAAGTAATTGTGGGGGGCCCAGTGTTTCGATGGTTCGAATCCTGGGCACGGACACGGTACCACTCAACAAGCCATGCTGAGGTGGCGTCCCACATGCCACAACTAGAAGGACCCACAACTAGGAATATACAACTATGTACTGGGGGGCTTTGGGGAGAAAAAGGAAAAAAAATAAAATCTGTCAAAAAACAAAAAAAATTTTGGACTAACTAAACCAAAGGCCTATTTCTTTCTTTTTGCAAGATGAATGGAGAGAGATTCATTTTTTAGCACGGTCTCCCGAGCATATACTTTTAAGCCCTTCTTGAAGTTGACGACTTAGCTCCTTCAACTCTGGCACCAAATGTCTTGGCTCCTAGCTTGTTCCTGTTACTACTTTGGCCACAGCCTCAGCCATTTATTACTCAGGATGCTCTTAGGTGTTTTTTTTTTTTTTTTTTTGTAAGATTGGCACCTGAGCTAACAACTCTTGCCAATCTTTTTTTTTTCCTGCTTTATCTCCCCCAATTCCCCCAGTACATAGTTGTATATCTTAGCTGCAGGTCCTTCTAGTTGTGGCATGTGGGACGCCGCCTCAACGTGGCCTTACCAGCGGTGTCTTGTCTGCGCCCAGGATCCAAACCGGCGAAGCCGTGGGCCACTGCAGACAAGCGTGCAAACTTAACCACTTGGCCACCAGGCCGGCCCCTGCTCTTAGGTCTTAAAAGGATGTTGCTCTCTCCCCTCCCATTCCCCCACATGCATTCAGTTAACACAGGTACTGAGAGCTTACAAGGGTTATGCACTCTTCTAGGCATGCTAGGAATATAACAACAAACAAAGCAGACCAAAAAATCACTGCTGCATGGAGCTAACATGGAGCACACATAAGTGTGTGTGTACAGACAATAAGCACAATAAAGTGTAAAATATATAAAATGTTAAAAGAGGATAAATGCTATATAGAAAAACAAAGCAGAGAAAGGGGATAGAAGGTGTTCTGTATATAATAATTATAGTGTTATGGTAGGGGAGCTGCAATGTAAGAGAGCTCAGAAGGAATTCTCCAATATAAATCATATTTGCCTTAGAGAGTGATGGTATGGGCACAGTGATTGATGCTTTAAACCACTTTAGGAAGCATTTTAAAAATTTTATTCCAATTCCCCTCTTTCTCCGTATTCTTTCCCTTTCATCTTGTTTCATCTTTTCCTTTTTTTTCCTTATTTCCTTGTTCAACTTTCTTTACTGAAGCATTAGAATGAATAGTGCAATAGAAAGAGCAGTTCCACGAACTGGGACCTAAAACCAGTCATCTCTGAGAGCCTCAGCTTCCTCGTCTGTAAAAGGGAGATAATAAAACATGTTTTGTTTTGTTGTGTTGTGAGGATTAGAGAAGAAGCATGTTTGCAAAACGTCATAGTCTCTAATTTAGGCCTCTTTAAATGGTAGCCATTATTAATAGAAGCACATTTGCTCTTATACAAATGAATAATGTATGCCAGCCTCTAAGTAGCTCTCTGGGAAGTTTAGAACCAAAGAGGACTAGGACCCAGACCAGGAACGAGTCATCCAGCATCCTTATCTATCTATTTCTGACAAAGGGTTTTATTAATATCCTATTGGAAATGGATAGGATGTACTCTCCAGACCGACTGTAATACAAAGTTTCCTTCCATAGCACTAACTTAGCTTTTCTCAACTAACCCTTTTTATCTTTATTAAACATGCAAAACAACACTGTTAACAATAATGCCTATAATAAGCACGCTATGTGTGCAGGCACGTTTATGGATAGAAAGTCATTTAATCCTTCAATGACCCTGTGTACTATCATCACCTCCAGTTGGAGCTGGGGATATCTGACAGGCGGCGTAGAGGGTGAACTCAAGAGGGAGGGAGCTGCCCTTGTGTCCCATCAAGGGGGCAAGCACACGAGGATACCTGGTCAGGGGTACTCCGTCTTTCACAGCCCCGACTTGGGGTTCATGCTTACTGAACTGAGAGAAGAAAACTTGTAGGAGTCGTGAAGACCCGTTAGTTCCTTTGGGGTTCCCTTAAGCGTCCTTTAAAAAGGTGGCGTCCTCTTTCCCTCCTGCCTTTAAAGAACCTGGTTAAGCGCTAGGGGCAGTGGTGACCTCCAACCCACTTCCGAACTTCAGGGGAAACTCCGACCTAAAAAATGAGTTACACACTTAGTCTCAGTCACTTACGATTTTACAAAGAGGGGCGGGGCCTCCTGAAGAGGCGGCTGGGGGGGAGTGCGCGAGGGACTCCGGGAGCCGCCGATTGGCTGGGACAAATGCCCGTCCCGCCTCCCTCCCGCCCCACCTCCGGCTGGCCCCGCGGCGGGGCCTGCGGGGGCGCTGAGGAGACTGGCGGTGCCAAACTGGCAGGGGGCGTGGTGCGAGGAGGCGTGACGAGGGGCGTGTCGGGGCGGGGGCCGGGCGCCGCGCGCGTCATGGCCTGCGGCCCCGCCCCGAGCTCCTACGCGGCTCCCTCCTCCTCCCCCGCCCCGTTCTCCCGCTCTCTCAGTTCTCGCCTCCACGTTCCACACCGCGGCCTCGCTGCCCTGCGAGAGCCAGCCCCGCGGCCGCCGCGCGCACACGCGCGCCCCGCGCCCCGCGTGCCCGGCTCCCCCACGCGCGCCCGTGCCTCGCGCACGGACGCACGCTCGTTTCCCCTCGCGCGACCGGGTCTCGGCGGCGGCGGCGGCGGCGGGCGGACCGCGCGGGGCAGCACCGTAGCGGCCGCCGCGGGGTGGCCAGCGGGCCATGGAGGCGGATGGGGCCGGCGAGCAGATGAGACCGCTACTCACCCGGGTAACGAGAAGGGTGAGGGCGCCGCGGTCGGTGGGGCTCCTCGGCGGGGGGCGCAGAGCCAGGCAGACAAAGGCGGGGGCGCGGCGGGCGTAGCGGTCCGGCCACCTCGTCCCGGGCCCGGGGCCCCTCCAGCGCCCGGCGCGCCTCGCCGTCCCCTTTGTGTGGCCGCCCCGGGCGCGGGTGCGAGGGGGCGGGCGGCGGCGGCGCCGAGGAGGCCCCAGTTGGGGCAGCCGGCAGCGCGCCGCGGGCATCCCTCGGCGCCGACATCCTCGGCACGGCTCGGACCGGACCCTGGGCCCCCCGGAGGGGGCCGCTCCCCGTGACTCCGACCATCTTTTCCTTTCTTTCTTTCCGCAGTGCTTGCTTCCCTTATTCCCAGGCGTTCTCCCCAGCCGGGGTCTCGGTTCCGGTTGCCTGGGCGCTGGAGTTCAGATTAGCCCCTCGAAAACCCATCTTTCTTCTCCCCCTAAGGAGGAGCGCGGCTCCACCTGTCTCTAGCCCCGGGCAGTGGTGAAGAGCTGGGCTGAATCTGCCCCCTTCTTTCCCGTCTCCCCACCCGCTCCGCGCTGTGCTTTGTTCGGTGAGTTCTCCGGCCGCGTGGACAAGCCGCTTTCCTTTGCGGCCAAGGCTTCTTTTCGCTGCTGACTCTGCCTGGTCCGCCTCCTCCTCTTTTGGCGAGAACCGGAGGAGTAGCCTGCCGCAGGCCAAGTAGAAGGAGGAAGGTGTCCGGGTCCTCCGTGCTGCTCCTTTTTTCGCCTTTCCCGGTGAGCCTGGCTTTGGCTTCAGGGTTAGAGGGGACTGTGGGTTGGCTTTCAGAAGGCCAGTGTTCCCATGTGGGATGCTGGACGGGCGGCTCATGCTCAAGAAAAGTGACTTCTTGCGTTCACGCAGAACACATGTGTCCCTACAGTTGTGATTCTCTTCTCCCTTGGTAAGTTCGTGACTCAAGGGGCATGGAGGTGTTATAAATTTTCCTACTTCCAGTTCTTAACTCTGGAGTGAAAATTTTCCAGTCTTTCACAAGTAACAGGAAAATAGCTTTTCACGTGTTTTTGTTCAATAATTTTCATTAAACTCCCCCTCTCCGCATCTTTTTCAAGATTGTTATAAGGCCCTGGAGAGTAGTCATTCATTGTTTTAGGATGTTCACCTATAAATTCTCAAAACATGGAGGAAAAAATTGAGTCTCTAGACATGAAGTCATTTAGCAGTGGTTTTTGGGAAGATCATTCGCAGCGATGGTAATGGAATTCTGGAAACCTGTCCTGAGGAATCTTCTGTAATTCTTTCTGTGGCCTTTGAATAAAATCTACTTTGGAGGTGTTTTTTAGCACCTTCTCTGCTAGTGTGTATCACGTGCAGTGTTGTCTGTTCTTAAGTTTATTATTTGTAAAATTTCAATTCAGAGCAGTAAAGAGGGTCCAAGTTTTCATAAAGCTGGTGGAAACCATGCTGTGCTCTCAAATATTGCCTGCTTAGCTAGAAGAAGCATATGATACTGCCATTGCCTCGCAAATCATTCATTCATTCATTGTAATAACACTTACTTAGAGTCTCTTCTACAGTGTCCAACAAGGCAGAACCAGCTCTGCTCTAGTAGAATTTACATTCAAGTGAAGCAGACAGATGACAAAGGAATTATCAAACACTGTTATTAATGGTTTGGCAGGGGAGCACTTTGGAAGGGTGTACCTCCTAAATCTTGGGGAAGATAAGACTTGGCTACTGTAGTCAAATCAGTATAGAAATCAAATACAGTAGGCTATCATACAGTTTAAAAATAGAATGGGAGAACAGGAAAACTAGGTTTAAGTAGTAGAGAAGAGCATGGCTTGAAAACTGGGAAGAGAGGAACTGTTGGCGTTGACAAAGTTAAATCTTTCCTCAGCCATTTTCCCCTGCTAATGAAAGTCATACAAATGGATGATTATGATATGTCATAACTTTTCTCTCACTCACAGCTGACTGCTTAGCATAGCCAAAAAAGTAGAATAAAATTAATATTCATAAAATGTTCTCTTGGGTTTGTAATTATGCACAAATTTTTGAATAAATTGGTGGCAGTTTATATTATTCTGAGACTGGAGCCCATCTGTTTCGTAATTGAGGCTCTAAGGTTTCTTCTAAAATTATGTAATTTTCATTGATCATGGAGATAGAGAAAAGTCGTTTATCTTATTAAAAATGCAATTTTTGTTTGCTTCCTTACAAAAACTCATCAGTGTAGGTCTCTCTTACAATTGATTTGGACTTAGTCTTATTTTCTGGTGTCAGTTAAATCCTCTTACAACAAATAGCACTGTTTAGAAGGTTCCCAAGTTTGGGCAAATGTTCTTCTTTCCTTTAAGCTATACATGATTTAACACAATTCTGTTACCCTTGAAATTTTGAGGCTGTTCCATGGATTTTGTTCTATGATTTCATTCATTTTACGGATGCTTATTAAGTATCGCCTAGGTACCACACACTGGGGCTACAGGCAGACAAGGTAGACCGAGTCCTAACCTCTCCGAGTTTATTTTGGCGTGTGTAGTGAACACAGTGATAGCATCTGTATTCCTGCTGATTCCCTGTGTGAATGCCAGTTAAAACATTTTCATGAGTCTTAGAAATACTTAAAAAAGTAATTAGAATAAGTGAAAGATATTAACAACCCAGTATGAAGTTAGTGGTGGTTGGCAAATAGAAAGTTCTTTGGTAGGTGAGTAAGAATTCTTCGGGGATCTCTGGTTGAGTGTTGATAGTCCTAGAGATAATGTGCACCCCAGGCATATTATCAGGATTTTAGTTACCTTTTTGCCTTATAGTTGGCATCTGGGCCACAATCTGTGGAGTTGTAATAAAGGGAGAGACAGCAAATCTGTCTTCTGTCCAAATGAAACTGTAGGACAATTGAGTTGGATTGAAAATTACTTTATCTGGTAATTAAGACTGGGAAGTACACAGGTTTTTTTCCTAAGAGAGCTTAGGGTATGAAAATTAGAGTATTTTGTTACACCAGGTTTCTGTTACTTGTTAAAATCGAAAGTAACCTGGTGTTGGAGGAACCTGCTGTATTATTTTTAGTAGTATGTGGGGTGCTAACCAATATATTCTAAAACCCTGGTAGTTATACTTGTCAACATCCTGTAATGGGTTGTTTTTCTTCTTTCCTTCCCCTTCTTTCTTAACTGTGTTTTACCACAGATATAATCTTAAAGTTGATAGGATCTGCAGCTGACAAAATGGGCCATTTATATGAAGGAGCATACAGGTGATTCATAGGGTTAATGTTATATAGATTAGTTAGTGTGGCTTTTGATTTATATTATAGCTTTCTCGTATTGGTTATGGATTCTTCTTTAGTTATCACTTTTTATGCATACGATATTTTCAATTTTGCAGTAAGGGTGTATCACTAATAAAGATCAGTGTTTGAATATGTAAAGGTGCAATTAGTCCCCACCACTTTAACCCCCTTTTTGTTTTTTTTTAAAGGAAGATTAGCTCTGAGCTAACTACTGCCAATCCTCCTCTTTTTGCTGAGGAAGACTGGCCCTGAGCTAACATCCATGCCCATCTTCCTCTACTTTATATGTGGGATGCCTACCACAGCATGGCTTTTTGCCTAGCGGTGCCATGTCTGCACCCTGGATCTGAACCGGCAAACCCCGGGCCACTGAGAATCGGAATGTGCGAACTTAACCGCTGTGCCACCGGGCCAGCCCTCTAAGCCCCTTTTTGAATGAGAGAGTTTTTGATTTCTGTACAAAGCAGGTACCTATTCCAACATTCTAGCTTACAATGAAGTTTGCCTCTGTTTTTGTTTAGCAGACAACTTGTGTATTTTGTTGAGTGATACTCATTGCATTTTATGACTTGGGGAGACTTTCACAATTATTTGTAATTATAATAATAAATAGTGAAGGGATCTGTGGTTGGCATAGCGTCATGATAATGTTTAGCAGTGCAACTGTTAACAGTCTTCCTAGGGACACAGGGCTAGCGGACAGGTGTAGTGCTGGATTTCCAAATTAGTGATTGCTTCCATGGGCTGGACATTTTTAAATGACTGCTATGAGAGTGGCCAAAGACTTTTTTTCAGTGCTTGGTTTAGGAAGAGAATGTGATTATGACATAGATTTGCATTTTTATCTGGAGCCTGATATGCCAGTCCAGAAAGGTTCTAGTTTGGCTATTTTAAGCAGATTTTTCAAATTGCCTCCAAAGAGGATTTTTAAAAATACTATAATTTTTCCCAAGCCATGGTTTGGATTTTAATGTTTATTTAAGCAGTTTTTTGGGGACAGTATCAAAGTGAAGGGTAAGACACAATCCGCCTTTCATAATGAAATAGAAAAGATGCTTTAATATTTTGATATCCTTTTTTGGTAAAGAATGCTAAGGAGACTAATGTCATTTGGTTCTCATTCTTTTCGCATGTCAGGCAGTATAGAATCGTCCATTCTCTCTGGATTCCAGGACTGTCTTGCTTCTTTTTTGTCAGCTTGCCGAATGTAGAGAGGTTGTTGAGTTGTATCATCTCTGATTAGGAGCTTGGGAAGTGGATATACCCTTAAATGAGTTCACAGGTGCGAGATGCCTGTACAGTCGTCCCTCGGTATCCCTGGGGCTTGGTTCCTAGACCCCCACAGATGTCCAAATCTGGATGCTCTAGTCTCTATGTACAAAGGGGTAGTATTTGCATATAACCTACATACATCCTCCCATATAGGTGCTTTAAGTCGTCTCTAGATTACTTATGATACCTAATACAATGTAAATGCTTTGTAAATGGCTGTTATACTGGATTGTTTAGGGAATTATGACAAGAAAAAAAGTCTGTACATGTTGAGTACAGATGCAACCATCAAAGGCCTTTCCGTCCAGCTGGTTGAATCCGCTGATAGGGAATGCCAACTGTACTCTGTTATAGGAGGGAGTGTGGAATGGTTTCTCAAAGGAGCATGAGAAGGGCAAGGATGATACTTAGAATCTTTTTTCCCCTCATAATTTGCCATAACATATAATTAGCACTTGGTGCATTTGTGTTTAGTGCATGTTCTTTGACATATAGAATGTTTCTGCTAAAATAGTAGTCTTTATTCTGGAAAAATACTGAAGGTACTTATGCAAAACTCCTCTTATCTTAGGAATTGAAGTATTCAACAAAAAATACGAATAAAGCAAATTTATATTTAGTAGACTCTCTTCCCGTTGAGTTCCATAGTAGTATTGGAGATGTTTCTGTTAAAAAAAAAAAAAAAGGTCCTCTGAAGAAACAATTTTTTGATAAGAATTTAAATTAGAAATTTCCATTCTATTATACTTTGGCCACCGGGATATTATCTTCATCTAGAAAACAAATTTTCGTTTTTAAAATTTTAGCAATTTTTAA